GCCGCTCGGGGACTGGGTGCTGGCGCGGCCGCAGCCCAGGGCACAGGGGGGCCCGGACGAGCCCAGCCGCCTCCCGAGAGCTCCCCTGTGGCTTCTCCCAAATCATGCATAACGTCTTGTGGAGCTGAAATGTCCGTTTATTTAACAGCAGTAATAATTTAAAATTATAAAAACCCTTTCAGTGTTGAGTATCAGAAGGGCGAGGTTATAAAGAAAAATAAATGGGACCGGAGAGGGGGCAGGGAAGAGTAACGGGGTCTACTCCAAGAGTTCGTTTTTTCAGTGACACCGAAGGGCCCTCGCCGGGTGCGGACGCCGGGAGGGAGGCAGTAACATTACGCTTTTGTTTTAAAGACTTCAATCTCCAAAGCAGAAGAGACAGTATCCAAGGGGAGGAGGAGGAGCAAAAGAAATAAAGAAAGGAATCTCAAATTCAAACCATACAAACAACCTTTCTGTTCAGAATCGCAACTGGTAGCTCAGCGCCTCGGGTCTCCCGGCTGGGCCACGCAGCCACCGCTCACTGCAACGGGGAAAGTCCACGCGGCAAATGGGTGTTTTTATTAACAGACAGAGCTCTTCCCCCGCCACAGAGCGCGAGGCTCCTCGTCTCTGAAGGACCCGGATTCTCCGTGTCTTCGGAACTCAAAAGGGGACTCTGGGGGTGCTGCCTCCCCCGCGCTCCCCCCCCTCGCTCTGCTCTGGAAGCCCCTTGCGTCGCGCACGTTGGAGGGGAGGGAGGGAGGACAATGGACAGGGCCCCAGGGACAGAGGGTTGGATTAAGATTCATGAGTTGTTCGATGAGTTTTCGTTACTTGGTGAGCTGGAGGAAGAGGAGGAGGAGGAGGAGGATGGCGAGAAGTTCATCCCCGTGAGTCCTGGGGGGTTTGTGGCAGTGTTTTGTCCACTTAAGCTCTTCCGGCACACAGGACACGTGTCGTGCTTTGGAGAGCAGACAAAAACAAAACAAGAAACATGGGAAATGGGGTTAGAAACACAATACGGGAGCAGCACTCGAGGAAAAGGCTCGGGTGACGCTCCCTCCTCTGATCAAAGGCTGCTCACACTCAGGCCCCCTCAGAGGGGCCAGCGGCCGCCCAGGAGCCCCCGCGGCAGCACCAACCTGCTCCAGCCAGGGCACGATGCAGCTGTTGTGGAACAGGTGGTTGCAGGGCAGCTGTCGGACGTTCTCACCCACTGTATAATCTTCTTTACACACCGGACACTCCAGCCCAGAGTCTGGGTCACGAGGGGAAAAGTGAGATGCAGGTGAGTGGTGATGGGGAGCACGGGGCTGGGAGCTCCCTCCTCCCCGTCCCAGCAGAGAGTGAACTCGGGGCGCTGCACTCCCCCCGCACCCCCCTGCCTTCGCTCCCCTGCTCCCTCCCCTCCTGCTTTGCCATCTCTGTCACACTGAGCTCCCCAGAGCAGTTCCCCTTCCCAGGGCAAATCCATCCAGGCTGCGCTGCTCCTTTGTGGGTGCGAGTGTAACAGACAACAGCTTCCTCCCCCCTTTGAAATGTTTTAGGCCTTGGAAGGACCAGCAGACAGAATTAAAATCCCAAGGAAACGTTGAACAGAACCTTTAGAGCACTCTTTGCAAGCGATTCCCTGGAGGTGACACACGTACCTACGTGTTCCTGTGCAATCTGTACGGTGGGGAGGGCCTGGATCTTCTCTTTGTCTGCTGGCGGCGGCCCAGTGTTTTCAAACTGATTTAGTAACTGAAAAAGCAAGAGGCCGCAAGAGGCAGAGAGGGGGCGTGAGCCCAGCAGCACATGGAATCTGTCGGTTTACTGAAGTGGGGACCTCGTCTCCCATTTCTGCAGCCCCCACAGTTCACCCCCCATACCCAAGGGTTCCGCAGCAGCAGGGGAGGACAGGGGGAGACTTTCTAGTGCCACTCTTACCTGGGTAATAATCGCATCCAAGCCGTTGGCACCCCACGCGTAGTCCATCGGGTTAGAGTGCAGGACTCCCCTGGAAGAGCAAAGACAACGATTACACCCATCCGGCAGCACGGACAAGAGCAGCGTCAGGAAGAGCAGCACGTGCTCTGACTCACCAGGGCCCTAGTCCCAGGTTTGGTATCGTTGTAGGTGCAATAATTCCATTGACCAGCTGCTGGATAATTCTGAAAGGCAAGAAAACCAGGATTATGTAAGAATTAGTGTCTACTAGCTCCCAGCCCAGGAACCTGGTGTGGAAGAAATGCTCAGTACTGTTGCTCACCGGGGGAAAAGGAACAACATCCTGATTATTCACTGATAAAGAGAAGTTTCAGTATTTTATTTGTGAGGGGATAATTTCTGACACGATGGTGAGTGGCACTCCAGGATGCAGTTGAAGGGACATTAGTCTTACTGTCCAGGGCATCCTCCCGTTCTCCCTCAGGCTGAGCAGGGCTAATAGCAGAACCCCCGGGCACACGTGGGTGAAACGGCCCCCCGGAGCCCCCCTTAACTCGAGGCAAGTGCTGGCCAACAGCTGGAGGCCCAGCACCGTGTTCCTGGGGCAGAGCCGGGCAGCTGCGCTCCCCAGCCGAAGGTTGGGCTGATTCCCACTGACACTCATCAGGGAGAAATAATGGGGGTCCCCCACCCCGAGCCCCGCGTCGTCCTCACCCTTCCAGCGTGGGCACGCCCTCGTGCCTGCCAGCGGCACGGCGTGTGGCCAGGCGGGCCCGCGGCTGCCTCGCACCGTAGCGGTGCCGGGACTGATGCTCCCGCTCCCTCCGGTTCTCCGAGTCCCTGTTGTCCTCCGGCTGCACATTGGACCCGAACGGAAACTCAAAGCTGTCATCGAAGATCCCGAAGGCAAACTGCCCGTAGCCCTGGGGCAAGGTGAATAAGTGCTGATCCACGTTCTGGGAGGGGAGAATTCAGAGGAGGGCTTGTGAGAAGCAGTAAAAGTGCTTTGCTCTCCCGCCTGGGACCCCACGCCGCAGAGCTCAGGCCCCCCCGCAGCTCCA